TGCTTTTTTACTGTGCCAATTGTTGTTGACAGTATTTACTTACTGTTTTGGACTCTAGGACTGCATCTATAACACGACCCGTTGAAATCATTTGAAGTGATCCCAACATTTTGCCTACTTTTTCCCCTTTCCTTTCCCTCTAGCATCGAGAATGTCTAATTCGGGTTCCTCCTTTTGTTCCACTTTGACTTCGAAAACATCGACGTCATTCAAATTAATTGCATTATTGCTTTCTTCTGCACCCAAATTTGAAATATTTTCAGGAATTAGTACTTCATTTAGATTGAAAAATTGATGCCGATATTAATTTGTAGCGTCAAAGGTGATTCGCCTCCAACACCGAACAAACCCTCGACAAATGAGTGTGGATTTCAATTGTGAATTGTGATGATACAGTATAGATGAATTGATGATGTAGTACGACGTAAGTACTAAGTCTTGAGTAAAGAGTATGTAATTAAAATGTGAATTTGTCTTGTGAGAAATGAGAATTAAATGAATTAAAATTGAATGATTGAAATTGTAAAAACTAATGTATATTGTATAATTGTTGATAATTGACTAATTGAGACTATTGAGATTTGAGTACAAGAAAGATTGAGAGAAAGAGAGTTGAGAGAGCTGTTGAAAAAATTTGGAGAAATTAGGCCTATTTATAGAGAGGGGAAACACAAAAAATAAAAACAAACAAAAAATTTCAGTGACCGAAATGATCACTGATGAAAGTTTAGTGACATTAACGGTTACTAACATTGAAAAACTTTTTAAAAATGTGACTATTTCTGTCACACAAATTACATGAGCCACGAGCGGCCAAGCAAGCTTGGCTCATGCTCGGGCTCGTGATTTTACGAGCCCGAGCCGCTCATAAGCCCCATTTTCAAGAGCCGACGGGCTTTTCGACTCGTTTGCCACCCCTACCAACATGATGCAATACAAGTTCAATAAGCTACGATGCAAGAAAAATAAAATGCTTTTTATGCTCACTTTTACTCTCACTTCACTCCATGGCCTCCTCCGAAGGTTTAGAAATGATTTATATTTCATGGTTATGCATTTCGGATACTATGTTAGTCTAACCTATTCATACTATTATCCTTTGTAACATTATGCTTGTTGTTATGCCTATGGATACAATATGCTCTATATTGAACTCTAATTGATGGGTATCTTGTGTTACTTTATTGGTGAATTATCTTACTATTATTGGTGTCTGTGGTAGTGTTTTGCTCATGCATGACTTATTTCTATCCCNAAATTATTGAAATATACTTTCCATTGCCAAAAACGTGCTTTTGCAGATTATACTTCATACAAATAGCATTTGACCTTGAAATTCGACAGAGCACAGGGTCAACAGATTTCGATTTCACTACATATTACATGTTAGGTTCATACATATTTGAACAAGGTGTTAAATGCATCTGGCCTCGGTGGAGAAGGTGACTGCGGGTACTCCGAAGCTCAAATTAGTCAACGGTGGAATATATTATGAGTGTGGGAAGAGGCAATAGATGTGAATAAAACAAAATCTTGGCTAAAGAGAAAATACCAAACAACTTATTGTAGAAGTGTAAAACTGCATTACCTTTGAAAGATATAAAGTGCAAGCTTATATTTTCAAATGGAAAATGTGATCTCCATTGGATGCCGATGCGCGGTTTCATCTCAACTACTCATAGGTCAAACTTAATAGGTGTCAATCCCAGATGTCCCAAGTCTGTGATGACCTTAAATAAATTGAAACAATGTCATCCTATGTCCCAGGCATGCCATTGAAAAGTAGACTAAAAGCGTAGTTCTAAGTGGCAACATCTATCCGACATATGAAATATGTTCGCATCCAAGGTCTTTAGGTTGAAACGACATCAAGGAATATGCTTTGTAAAGCAAAGGTTTATTGCTTCGAAAACACAATAGCAACTTGTGGCACCTAGTTTTGGACATGGAAGTTTGACAGTCGCCAGTCATGGTTACACAGCACTTATTATAGTCAAAGTAAAAAAAAGAGAACTTAAATTAATTAAATAATTTCATGGGGATTTGTATAAGCAAATGGAATTTGTTGGGGGCTAAATGGATGATTACAGAAACAAATTGTTAAGTTTTAGATTAGATGGAGACATAAGGGTTGATATTGCAAACTGAAGTTACAAAAAGCTGGCCTAGATCGACAGGAAAATCGGCGACCTGAGCCTTTGACTAGGCCTGGTAGAATAATTTGGTAGAAATGCAAATGACATGGTCAAAATCGAGTTTGAACAAGTTAACCCGTCGATTGACCGAGTTAACCTGTGAGTTTTATATTAAACAAGCCTGGTTGACTTGTTTACTTGGATTACAAAAGTATTTCCTTAAATTTTTTGGTGTTCGAAGATTAGGGGCATCAATAAGTCGGGCTAAGCCAGCTCGTAGCTCGTGCATGACCCATTCAAGAAAACTTGAGCTTCTTTAGCTCGAGCCGAACCGAGCCAAAGCCTAGCCGAAATTTGAAAGCTTAACTCGAGCTTTTGGCTCAGGCTTCACCGAACCGAGTTGGCTCATGAACTTTTTAATTTGTTTTAATTCATGAAATAGACATATAAAGAAGCCAAAGAAGTTCTTCTCGAGTAAAATACAACAAAAAATATTTATAAAGATACAAGAGTATATGAATTAGAGTTCAGTTTCAGGTGTATAAATACCCTTATATTCACTTGTAGAATTAAAAATATCGGAATAGAAAATGTCTTTTAAGTTTCAACACCACAAGATAACAAATAATATTATATTAACTTCCATAAAATATAACAGGATTACTAATGAATATGATAATAAATTATAAAGAATAATACTATTTACAATCGCTCACTATCATAATCGCCATACGTAACATACATGCGGTGGTTAGTGATTATTGCATAAAGTAATAAAAAACTACTATATTAATATATCAAATCACTAACCGCCACATGTATGCCACATAAGACGATTACGATAGTATACTATTTCTCAATTATAAATATGGATAGTTGTAGCATAATTATGAACATTAATTATGTAAGCATATTTAGACATAAATTAAACTTTATTGATTTTAAATCTTAAATAAAATATTAACAAAATAAAATAAAAAATTGAAAGTTGATTTATTTTGTATTTAATTATAGAGATTGAGTTTCGCTCTTCAAATTTGAAAATTAAATCCACTCTCTAAATTAAACTAGAGTATATCAAAGAGACTTTTTAAATATAAGATATTCTCTATTTTTAAAGGCCAACCTTTAAAATTATGCTCAAAAAAATCTTTAAATTAACATTTTAAACCTATTTTTAGGGAGTATATGTCAGTTTATCAAATGCACCACGAAAAAAAAATGTGGAATCAAATTAGCAAATAATGCTCACTTGCTGAAATAATTGGTGTTTGTTGGTCCTGTGTATGCCTAATAAATGGATTGATACGCCCTCTGAGGCATAGTCCAGTAGTGCAAATAATAGGAGTGATGTTATCTCACGCCTTACTGGCAGTTGTAGTGTGAAAGTTCGATTCCTGAGACATGGAATTAGATTCCCTGTAGGCGCAGTGTACAGACAGCTCTTATTCCCTAACATGTTGGAATACATCCCACGATTTACCTCCCTCACAAAACTCTACGGGTGGAACGGTAGGGGCTCTTAAGGTTGGTTGGGGTTCAACCTTTAATAAATGGATTGATACCTGCCTTACATATTTTCCATTGACAAGAAAACCCTTCTTCGTACAAGGTAGGTATCATTGTATCAATGTATTTATAAGGCATACACATACCAACAAACACCAATTATTTCAGCAGGTGATCATTATTTGCTAATTTGATTCCACGTTTTTTTGTGGTGCATTTGATAAACTCTAACTAATATTATTTGATTACTATTTGTCTTTGATCCTAAATCTTGTTTCAGAAGAAGCTAGATAGGTAAAGTTACAGGATGGTGAAGGGAAGAAGCAGTCCATGGTTCTTGATTCTCTTCGCATTAATCTTTCTTCTTCCTGTCTACTCCTTCCCTGGTTTAAGCCGCAAGTTTTCCTTCAATGGCCTTATACTGAGCGTGGGGTTTGATAATTATGCTGTTATATTTGATGCCGAAAGTACTGGCAGTAGAGTCCATGTCTTCAGGTTCGATCAAGACTTGAATCTGCTTCGTGTCGGCAAAGATTTCGAGCTTCTTGTCACGGTATGGTATATTATGGTATGCTATATCCAATGTATTGTACGTGTTGCGATGGATTTGTATCTGATATTCGTAATACAGACGACACCAGGTCTAAGTTCATACGCGGATGATCCTAAGGCAGCTGTTTTGGGCTCGAATTTTTTTTGCTAGTTCATGGCATGCGGTTTTTGTTATTTGGTTGTACCAATTTGATGGTTCTTCACAACTTCACAACTTGCTCTTTTGACCCTTGGGCTAATTGCTTGGGAGTTTCGACTTGCACGTAATGAGGCTAGATACAATGGAGGTTTGGTCAATGTTGATAAAATTTGCTACAAAATAAAATATTGGTTGGTTGAATTAAGTCCATTTCTTCATGCTGTTATCTATTGTCTTGGTATGGGTCCAACTCCTTTGACAACTAAGGCTCATTTCCTTGTTCGATGGTACCGTCCCCCTTGTGATATTCGTAAACTTAATATTGATGGTGCTAGTTGTGGTAATCCCAGTGAGCTGGTTGTGGTGAGGTGCTTAGAGATTGGAGAGGAAAATTTGTTTTTTGCTTCTCTCATTTTCTTGGGGTAGCTACTAATTACATGGCGGAAGCAATGACTTTGAAATTGGGTTTGTATTATTGATATCTTTTGTAGGTTTCAAAGGTATGGGTTGAAACTGATTACCAAGTCATTGGTTTAGTAGGCTGGGTATTATTCCTTGGTCTATTCAGCAGGTTTGGGATGATATTGTTGATCTGGCAGGCTTCATTGATTTAAAAGTCACCCATGTCTTTAGAGGCGAATTCGGTTGCTAACTCGTTGGTTAAGATGGGTACAGTTGTACGCTCTTAATTTTCTACCCATATTAGGGACTTCATTAAGACTTCAATATGTCATTTTGTTTTAGATTCTATTGGTTGTCCCTCCTTTTGAATCCGTTGATTGTATTGTTTTGAGTTTTATTACTTCAACTACTTGACAATTTTTCTTCGCCAAAAATGAGGGCCTATCAATAAAGTTAAGGAGGCGCTGTAAAAAAAATTCTACATATACAAAAAAAAATTTAAAACTTTTTATATGGATAATGCACATTCATTGGCATCACCCATAATCGGTTGATCATTATTTAAAAAAGATCTAATTCGTCCACTTGAAGATCGAGAAAATGTTCTTAATTTTGAAGTATCATATCTTAGTGCAATTGGAGCACTAACTTATCTTGCAAACTGCACTTAACTAGATATAGTTTTTTCTGTAAATCTCATTGTGAAGAAATCATTGATAGCAACATTCTCAAATCATTATGAAATTATTGCAATCCATGTAGTAAGTCGAGAATGTGTAGGGCTGATGAACATGACCCATCATATCCAAACATCATATGAGTTAACTTCAACAAAAGATAGCCAAACAGTTTTGTATGAAAACAATTCCACTTCTATTGTTCAACTTAAAGGTAACAGAAGGAAGTGTATATATATATATATATTATTTTTTTTTTCAAAATTCTTTCATACACATGATTTTCAGAAGAATGATGATATCAATATTCAACAAATTCACTCAAGTGACAATGTGGATGATTTATTTACAAAAACACTACCAACATCTACATTCAAGAAATTAGTTCACATGATTGCAATGCGTCGACTCAATAATTTTCAACAATCAACATCAATGGTTGTTGCTATACTCATTTTCCTTCGCTTATTTTTTTTTTATCCTACTGGGTTTTATTAGTAATGTATTAATGAAATAACATTTATTTTTAATACTCCAAAATAGTTATACTCTTTTCCTTTCGTTTGATTTTTTTGTCCCATTATTTTTTTTATTAAACAAGGTTTTAACGAGGTAAATATTTTGTAATGTGTCATTCAATGCAGAGTGTTGTAAATTGTAAGTTTATTAGTGAATGAAAATTGTACCCTTACAACCTTACAAATTATTACCACTATATCCTTAATCATTCCCTCTAAATATAGGCCTTTGATATTTCATTATAATATATATTAGTTTATTGATTTTTATTCACTCTTCTCTTTTTCTTATTTTTTATAATAATTTTGTAGAACATGTTAAAGAGTTAATTGTTTCAATAGTCACTGAACTTAGGTCCATGTCTTTGATTGGTCACTAAAATTTAAAATGTCGAGTTTTGACCACTGAATTTTGAAAAATGTCGAGTTTTGGTCACTGAACTTAGGTCCATGTCTTGGATTTCTCATTGAAATTTCAGATGTTGAGTTTTGGTCATTTAACTTTAAAAAATATTGTATATTACTAACCGAATTTTGAAAAATATTTTACATTACTTACTAAACTTTGAAAAATGTTATACATTACTCATTATAAATTTGATATTTTTAAAATTCAATAGTTGTGTTAGTGAATAACGTACAGTATATTCCAAAGTTCAGTGGTCAAAACTCGACATTTTAAATTTCAGGGAACAATCCAAGACATAGACCTAAGTTCAGTTAGCAATTGGAGACACTGACCTAAATTTAATAACCAAAATTCGACATTTTAAACTTTAGTAACCAATCAAAGACATAAACTTATATTCAATGAGCAATCGAAGATATTGATCTAAGTTCAGTAATAAAAAACTCGACATTTTAAATTTCAGTGATCAATCAACGATATGGACCTAAGTTCAATGTCGAGTTTTGACCACTGAATTTTGAAAAATGTGGAGTTTTGGTTACTGAACTTAGGTCCATGTTTTGGATTGCTCACTGAAATTTTAAATGTCGAGTTTTGGTCACTAAACTTTAAAAAATATTGTATATTACTCACTGAACTTTGAAAAGTATTATACATTACTTACTAAACTTTGAAAAATATTATAAATTACTAATTGTAAATTCGATATTTTTTAAAATTTAATAGTTATGCCAGTGAGTAACGTACAATATATTTCAAAGTTCAGTGGTCAAAATTCGACATTTTAAATTTCAGTGAGCAATCGAAGACATAAACCTAAATTCAGTGAGCAATTGAAAACATTGATTTAAATTCAGTGACCAAAACTTGACATTGTAAACTTTAATGATTAATCAAAGACATGAAACTAAATTCAATGAGCAATAAAAAATATTGACTTAAGTTTAATAATAAAAAACTCAATATTTTAAATTTCGTGATCAATCAACGATATGGATCTAAGTTCAATTACCATCGTAACAATTAACCCGTCTAAGAATTACTATGGGGCCAAAACAAGGGCATAGGGTTTAGGGCTCAACAAAACCAGACAAAAGGCAAAGCAAATCTTATACAATCAGGCGAGGCTGTGAAATTTGCCGAAGAGACACAATATACAGGTTACACAGAGAAGATGGCAAAATCGATGAGATCGAAGAGGGAGAAGAGGCTGAGGGCCATTAAGAGAGAGCTCGTAGAACCCATTTACGACAAGAAAGCCGCCGCCAAGCTTGCCGCCCAGGAGGCCGCCCTCGCCGCCCCCAAGCTACCCGTAAAGTTCACTCCCACCACTTCCGCCAGCAATATGGATGTCACCGCCTCAACTACCTCTTTTATTGATAAAAACACGGGTACCGTTTTCTCTTTCCCTCCTTTTCTTTTGTGGGGTTTACCTTTTTTAGTTATTGATTGATGCAATCTGATTCGCGATATTCATTTAGATATGTGCGTATTTCTGCTTCCTCACATTTTTGTTGTTTCGTGCTCACTTTGACTTACTTTCGTTTACTATCACTCGACTTTCGTTTCAATTTCTAAACTTTTTGGTACATATCCAATCTAATTTATTATGAGAAGTTTCTTTCTTTGGTGGATTTGTTATTTTATTGTCAGTATCAATCCTGATTTTCCCATATTCTTCAGATATTCTCTCCGGACTTGTTATTGCCATGGTACAGAAAATGTATAATCTTTAGTTCATAGAAGTCTTGTATAAGGTTAAGCGCAAGGGTGAAGCTAGAACCTTTGTTAGGGCAAGCTAAAATTTATGAGCTGGGCGAGGCTAATTCATGTTTGGTGTGGCTAGATATTTCTTTAAGCCAATTTTAAGAAGTTAAAAAAGAATTTGAGTCAATTTTGTGTTGTAAAACAAGAAGAAAAGAAAAAATCCCTAAACTTTGGGCTGAACTACAGCTCAATTCTCCAATGTGAAGATCCCTCCCCTGGCTAAGAGATGGCACTGGGGAAAGCTGAGGGTTAATCCTTAAAAGGCATTTTGTCTTTTAAGAGCATCTTAGTCATAATAGATAGCATTTTCAAATTTGCTAATTAAACTTTTTAATATACTCCAACAAACTCTTTTTTATTGCTCTTTATATTAATTTTTTCCTGCAATCATTTATTATTATTATTATTATTTTATTTTTCAACTAATATATATTTTTAGATGTCAATAGCTAAAATATTTAATATAATATAAATAAATTAAGTAGTGGAGGATTGACACTTGCAATTTCATTAAATACACTCATTAAAAAAATACAAATGGAGAGTGAGCCTGACTCTCCAAATGTAGAGAGACTAATCCACACTCCTATTTTAAAAAGTTTTTTAAACCTATTAAAGCTTTAACTTTTTAAAATACAAGAATATCACTTCTAAAGAGTCTTGGAAATGTTCTAAGGTTTTTTCTTTTAAAATTATAACCTCCTTTCTTTGTACGAACATGTATTGAAGTTATATGGTGGAGATTTTTGCAATTTAAGTTTGCAGAGGAGCATCTAGTTGATGAAGAGTATCGTTTACAATTATAGTTTACTTGTTTGAAAATATTAGGAACTTTTCCCTGATTCGCTACCATGTTGATTCATGGCTGAACTGCTACAACTTATATTTGTAGATAATCTGATTGCTTGTACATTTGATGGTTAGCAAGTATATAGTCGCTCGTTTGTAAACTTTTCTTCATCATTATTGTATACTGATATTAATATTGGGTACACTGGTTAGCAGATGTGGAGATGACTGATGGAAATCAAAATTTGAAAGCATTGAAACCCATCGGTAAAAAGCTGAAAAAGAAAATCAAGATTGCCAAACGGAAGCATCATGGCAAAGGAAAGATCAGAAGGAAGCATAATGTTTGAATGCATATAGCTACCAATATTAATGATTTCCTTGGTGCTGAATTGAATTTGACATTACCTTTGTTTACAGAGGCATCTGCTATTCCTTCCAATTAACCGAAGGAAGAATGTCTATGTTCAGGAACCTTATTCAAACAAACCTGTCTTGCTACGTAATGTGTAAACTATGTCATACTTAATTCCTGAATTTTTTTTTGACAGTATTGTTGTGTTGCTTCCGTTTGAGATCTTTTGAATATCATACAAGACAGGACCTATGAAAATTCTCTCTAGCATAATATTGCTCTTTTTCTAGAAATTTTTTTACTGGGTGAGGTCCCTCTGTTCATTCGAACTTGACTTGGCGTAGATCTCTATTTGAAGAAGTAGAGCAAGGGGCATATCAATCTGTTTTGAGTTATTGAGCTCCAGTTGAGTCCTTGAGATTTAAGACAAAGGAGCTAAAGAGTGAAGGAAATGCTCTCCTTCTCGACTGGCTTGACCCGTCTTCCTTAGTCGAGTTATTGAGCTGGAAAGTAACAAGCTCTTTTCTTTTCGTCTATAAACAGTTATAAGATCATTGTGGTTAATCGATGGTACTTCCCCAGAGGGTGGCTGCATCTATATTCACCACTGAGTGACACTCCATGGAGCTTCTTTGCAATAAAAAGTGCGCACTTCTAATTTGTTATCACTATATAATTCATTTTAATTAATCAAGATGAATTTAGTTGTTTCCGAACTGTAATAGCAAAAAGTTTGATCTGTTAGGACTTGCTTGTTAAGTTGCTTTGTAAAGCAACATGGTAACGTGACTTAAATTGTTAAAATCCAATAAATTTTAGGTGATATTAGTCTTGTTTGGCCCTCATTTTTTTTAAAAATCATTTTTTCTTAAAACTCATTTTCAGTCACAAATTTGTGGGTCTCTTGACTTTATAAGTTTTAAAACACATATTTTATCGAGTTTTATAGAAATCTGATTTTTAGCTGAATCAGATAGAATGGCCGTCTGGCCGAGGCGGTTGTGTCGGATATTATTGTGTTGCTAAATGTTGTGATGTGATGGTTCGTGTTGCTTAATCTCTATGAGTGATAGACAGATAGCAACTTTGGACGAGGCGTGCTACTGGGACAGGGAATTGTCCAAACATGGGTCGATGTGGCGCCTGTCGAAAAATTCCCTTTGGACTGGCTTGTTTCATGCCTCGGATACTTGCTCCTTGTAAAGCACACCAGATTTGAGAAGTGTATTCTGTCCGTACGATTGACGTGAATGCAAAATACAAAATTACTGGCTTGTACAGAGATACGTCTTCGTCTTCGTCTTCGTGTGATGACAAATATGGGTGGACCAGTTACGACTTAGAGGTCCTACAAATATCTTTTGGATGATAACAAGTGGGCCAATACCAAAGTTACGGAATGAGGGTCTCTTGTTTTGGGGTGACATTGAATGAATACAACCAAGTGATTTGGACTTCGATGATAAATTATTGAAATATACTTTCCATTGCCAAAAACGTGCTTTTGCAGATTATACTTCATACAAATAGCATTTGACCTTGAAATTTGACAGAGCACAGGGTCAACAGATTTCGATTTCACTACATATTACATGTTAGGTTCCTACATATTTGAACAAGGTGTTAAATGCATCTGGCCTCGGTGGAGAAGGTGACTGCGGGTACTCCGAAGCTCAAATTAGTCAACGGTGGAATAAATTATGAGTGTGGGAAGAGGCAATAGATGTGAATAAAACAAAATCTTGGCTAAAGAGAAAATACCAAACAACTTATTGTAGAAGTGTAAAACTGCATTACCTTTGAAAGATATAAAGTGCAAGCTTATATTTTCAAATGGAAAATGTGATCTCCATTGGATGCCGATGCGCGGTTTCATCTCAACTACTCATAGGTCAAACTTAATAGGTGTCAATCCCAGATGTCCCAAGTCTGTGATGACCTTAAATAAATTGAAACAATGTCATCCTATGTCCCAGGCATGCCATTGAAAAGTAGACTAAAAGCGTAGTTCTAAGTGGCAACATCTATCCGACATATGAAATATGTTCGCATCCAAGGTCTTTAGGTTGAAACGACATCAAGGAATATGCTTTGTAAAGCAAAGGTTTATTGCTTCGAAAACACAATAGCAACTTGTGGCACCTAGTTTTGGACATGGAAGTTTGACAGTCGCCAGTCATGGTTACACAGCACTTATTATAGTCAAAGTAAAAAAAAGAGAACTTAAATTAATTAAATAATTTCATGGGGATTTGTATAAGCAAATGGAATTTGTTGGGGGGCTAAATGGATGATTACAGAAACAAATTGTTAAGTTTTAGATTAGATGGAGACATAAGGGTTGATATTGCAAACTGAAGTTACAAAAAGCTGGCCTAGATCGACGGGAAAATCGGCGACCTGAGCCTTTGACTAGGCCTGGTAGAATAATTTGGTAGAAATGCAAATGACATGGTCAAAATCGAGTTTGAACAAGTTAACCCGTCGTTGACCGAGTTAACCTGTGAGTTTTATATTAAACAAGCCTGGTTGACTTGTTTACTTGGATTACAAAAGTATTTCCTTAAATTTTTTGGTGTTCGAAGATTAGGGGCATCAATAAGTCGGGCTAAGCCAGCTCGTAGCTCGTGCATGACCCATTCAAGAAAACTTGAGCTTCTTTAGCTCGAGCCGAACCGAGCCAAAGCCTAGCCGAAATTTGAAAGCTTAACTCGAGCTTTTGGCTCAGGCTTCACCGAACCGAGTTGGCTCATGAACTTTTTAATTTGTTTTAATTCATGAAATAGACATATAAAGAAGCCAAAGAAGTTCTTCTCGAGTAAAATACAACAAAAAATATTTATAAAGATACAAGAGTATATGAATTAGAGTTCAGTTTCAGGTGTATAAATACCCTTATATTCACTTGTAGAATTAAAAATATCGGAATAGAAAATGTCTTTTAAGTTTCAACACCACAAGATAACAAATAATATTATATTAACTTCCATAAAATATAACAGGATTACTAATGAATATGATAATAAATTATAAAGAATAATACTATTTACAATCTCTCACTATCATAATCGCCATACGTAACATACATGCGGTGGTTAGTGATTATTGCATAAAGTAATAAAAAACTACTATATTAATATATCAAATCACTAACCGCCACATGTATGCCACATAAGACGAATACGATAGTATACTATTTCTCAATTATAAATATGGATAGTTGTAGCATAATTATGAACATTAATTATGTAAGCATATTTAGACATAAATTAAACTTTATTGATTTTAAATCTTAAATAAAATATTAACAAAATAAAATAAAAAATTGAAAGTTGATTTATTTTGTATTTAATTTTAGAGATTGAGTTTCGCTCTTCAAATTTGAAAGTTAAATTCACTCTCTAAATTAAACTAGAGTATATCAAAGAGACTTTTTAAATATAAGATATTCTCTATTTTTAAAGGCCAACCCTTAAAATTATGCTCAAAAAAATCTTTAAATTAACATTTTAAACCTATTTTTAGGGAGTATATGTCAGTTTATCAAATGCACCACGAAAAAAAAAATGTGGAATCAAATTAGCAAATAATGCTCACTTGCTGAAATAATTGGTGTTTGTTGGTCCTGTGTATGCCTAATAAATGGATTGATACGCCCTCTGAGGCATAGTCCAGTAGTGCAAATAATAGGAGTGATGTTATCTCACGCCTTACTGGCAGTTGTAGTGTGAAAGTTCGATTCCTGAAACATGAAATTAGATTCCCTGTAGGCGCAGTGTACAGGCAGCTCTTATTCCCTGACATGTTGGAATACATCCCACGATTTACCTCCCTCACAAAACTCTACGGGTGGAACGGTAGGGGCTCTTAAGGTTGGTTGGGGTTCAACCTTTAATAAATGGATTGATACCTGCCTTACATATTTTCCATTGACAAGAAAACCCTTCTTCGTACAAGGTAGGTATCATTGTATCAATGTATTTATAAGGCATACACATACCAACAAACACCAATTATTTCAGCAGGTGATCATTATTTGCTAATTTGATTCCACGTTTTTTTGTGGTGCATTTGATAAACTCTAACTAATATTATTTGATTACTATTTGTCTTTGATCCTAAATCTTGTTTCAGAAGAAGCTAGATAGGTAAAGTTACAGGATGGTGAAGGGAAGAAGCAGTCCATGGTTCTTGATTCTCTTCGCATTAATCTTTCTTCTTCCTGTCTACTCCTTCCCTGGTTTAAGCCGCAAGTTTTCCTTCAATGGCCTTATACTGAGCGTGGGGTTTGATAATTATGCTGTTATATTTGATGCCGGAAGTACTGGCAGTAGAGTCCATGTCTTCAGGTTCGATCAAGACTTGAATCTGCTTCGTGTCGGCAAAGATTTCGAGCTTCTTGTCACGGTATGGTATATTATGGTATGCTATATCCAATGTATTGTACGTGTTGCGATGGATTTGTATCTGATATTCGTAATACAGACGACACCAGGTCTAAGTTCATACGCGGATGATCCTAAGGCAGCTGCTGATTCGTTAAGGCCACTCCTACAGAAAGCAGAAGCAGCTGTGCCTAAACAGTTGAACTTTAAAACACCACTCAGACTCGGAGTCTGTACCTCGTCTCTCTCTATTTAATACGTTTTATTTTTTCTTTTCTTTTTTGTTTGATTCGGATTTTACATCTTAAATGACAATCTACTGCCCACAGGCCACTGCAGGACTGCGATTATTGGACGGGATGAAGCTGAAAGAATTTTGGAAGCTGTTTATTCTGCTCCTTCCTTTCTTTTGTTGAACGAATAAGATTGACGCAGCTCAAAACCTTAAGAACAAAAATCTAGAATCCACAAGAAAATGAAAAATAAACTGAAGATGTTTTATTAATTCAAAAACTGTCAAAAAACAAAGAATTAACCCTTTACTTGTAAGGGTCCACATGAAAACCTAGTTTAAAAGCACTAAAATTCAAAGTAATTTTAAAATAAATTAAATGATCAAAATAGCATTAAAATTTGAAAAGCAATTTTCGAGTCCTAAATGAATTTGGGTTGGCTAAAATCCATCATATGTCAAAGCAAAGCTGTGAGTTCAGGCCGACTCGTTGTTCTCTTTCCGAAAATGTAATATGGGTCTAAATTGGAGTTCTAACGCCAATCTGCAGTTTACCCCCTTTTAGTCCAACCGTTCTTCAATCCACTTGACCATCTGTTTTACATCAAAGATGAATAGATGTGATTTGTTTCTATTTACTCCAACGTTCTGAACTT